CTTGGTAATTGTACTTAGAGTGATCTAGGCTTCTTATGAAATTCACTTTTTTGGAAATCCTCCAACGTGAGCATACAGGTATGTACTCAAAGAGCAATTTAAGATATTAGCATCTATGTGATACAACCCAACACTACAACAGGCGAGAAACGTGGGCCGGTGACCGGCCCACGTGCCTGGTTACCCTTGTGAACAGGACGCAGCCATCTAGGTAGAGCCATCTGGTGCTGAGCTCATGCGAGGCACGCCTGCACCAGAACCACGTGGTTGGGTTCAAACAAGCTCCAACCTTTGAGTTGTTTTGTTGACTTGAGTCCAGCACTTTTTCAGAAGATTTGGACACCACGCAATCGCACTTTTCGTGTATGGTTACATGCCAAAGATTGTCGAAGGATCGAGTTAAATAATAATTAATAATCTTGGCCATGGAATAATCCTACTTCAGTGTTTTTCACTTGAGTTAATTGTTCACTTGACTCAGTCACTCGGGCATAAGGAACATCCCACGCACAGGTATCCAAGTCAGGTGAAAAATTGTCAGCCTCAAATGTAAAATACTGTAATTCAACCCAGTGAATCATAGGCCCTCGCATATATCTTTAGCCTCGACCTACAACGTTTGGCATTTCAACTCAAGGAAATTCACAGGTTTAATGGGGAGCCGAAGATGGTATTTTCTGCTAGCCTATGACTAGGACGGCTTCCAATTGGGTCACCTCTTTCCACCGACTGGAGAGGCTCCCATTGGTTTACCAAAACATTCGGGGATATGCCTCTGGCCCAAAAAGGAGATATCCTCTGGATCCAGATCATGCAGATTACTTGCCAGGTAAGCTTGAGTTGAACCAAAAATCATCATCATATGTAGTTCGTTTTTCTTCCAAGAAAGGCTACACTAGAATTTTAAATAAAAGGACAAAAGGATGATAAAGTTAATTCTGCTACTTCAAGATGGGACTGGTCTTTTAAACAGCAATAACCTGAAACCTAAAAGAAAGTCAATCAGAAATTGATGTGGTTGTCCATGGAGGGGTCTTATGTGATGATGTTCAAATGAAATAATCCTTATTACATTCTTAATTGGAGGGGTTTATACAATGTTGTATTTAGCCACATTTAGATTTTGAAGAAAATTGCATTTTAGATGTGTGATCCCTACAGATCAGCCCTTCCAGTAGAGCAGATTAAGGCCTTGTAAGTTTCTCTTAATTTCCATTGAGTTTAAGGCTAAAGAGTGGGAGAAGTGGGCCAATCTGTTTTAGAGAATCTTGAATCAGTTAGGTCTGAAAATGATCTTTCACTGAGAAAGACCATTCTTAGTTGAATGGAATAGTTCCATATCTTTTAATATGATTTGTTTTGAAAGTGTTTCAGTATGTGTCAGAGAAACGAATTCCTGGAACAAGGGTATATACATGGGGAGTATCAATGCATGGAGCTCTTGGATCAGAGTCACTTGTGAGACCTGCAACCAGGAAGCAGAAACCTCGCTACTATGCTCACAAGCCTTGCCGACTCTCCTTTGCTGAACAGTTCAAGGTCAGTTGTACTCTTGAATTCCTACTCCTCTAATTGGGGTAAGCAATTGCAGTTTTCCATCCCATCTGTATTTAAAATGATTGACTCACCAAGCCATAAATATAGATTCCATCTCTGATCTCATATGCCACTGAGCTCTACAGTAGATGATTCTTTCATAGGCCATCCTATTAGGGGTTGATAAGGATATTGTAGTAAATCGCTACTTCCCTAAATTATATTGATCAGAAATGACTATAGGTAGGACCTCTTTTCTTTTCTGAGAAAATGTCTGCTTAAAAAATATTAATGATTGCCACTAGAAATATGTGGCCAGATTCACATGTCATTAGAGGATACAAAGTGCCACCATCCATGAGAACCTCCAAGTCAAGCAACTACTTGAGTGCTCCCATGCCCAATGGGTGGACTCATCTCCCTAAAGACTCTGAAAAAGAGTCCTCCTATGTAAAGTGAGTGGCAAAAGACCAGTTGGTAGACCTCATGCAAAGTGAACTGACTGTATCACAAATCTTTGCCATGAGAAGCTTGGTATACTGCCTGTTGAGCTTGAGTCTGCCATGTAGGATTGTGAACAATGGGAGATGCTCCTGGGCCTGCTCAAACTGGGACTCCACTAAGTTGGGATAAGTGGTTTTGAAAATGCATGTATATATTGATATACTTGTATATTGGCTTCAAGGTACAACTGCCAAACATTCATGAAAGTCCTCAGTCTTTTTCCTGCATTAGTGTAGATAATCCAATAGATACACAATAAGCTTCCTTTGAAACACTCTTAACTTGGAGTAATCTAGATTTCTTCTGGTACCTCATTAAAAACTTAACAGCATTGTGTCACAGTCTTGTATTGTGTCATCTGAATATTTTCAGGTGGTAGACATTGCTTGTGGCTATGGGTTTTCCCTCTTCAAAGTTGATGACAAGAAGTGTCCTGCCAAAGTTTTTGGATGTGGCCTCAACACAGATGCCCAGATTGGTGAGAGAATAAAGAATTGTTGTTTTTTTTTCTTCTATATGTTGATTGGTTACTTCCAACAGTCTGGCATTAAGATGTGATTATCAACCATGTATTTGACTTGAACATTTACCTTCTTATGCACTCTTCCATTCGTAGAGTTTAAGTAGGATACCGGAACTTGATGTTTGTTTTGTTGGTGTAACTGCTAGATTAGTTATAGTTATCCATGGAGTTGGGAAGGTATTCTCTGGGTACAGAACTTCTATATTGCAGCAAAAACAGTTTTATGCTTATTCAAAAAGTATTGTGTGGTTCAATCGGAAAACAATGAGAAAGTTGGATCTTGACTGGTAATGAAAAAACATGGGAAAAAAGGCTTCAGGCTAGTAGAAATGTCATGTTTGTGCTTCCACTGTGTCCTTGAAGTCATCATGCACAAACACCCTTCTAAATTATAAAGTTGGTGCCTCTGTTATTCAGTCATTCTCAAGGAAGTATTCCCCTTGCTGTGTGATTTTCACTCTTGTTATGCCTAATCCACTCTTCAAGGCCCAGGATCTTAATTAGGATGATGACCTGAACTTTGATTTTATGGAAGATGTGTCCAAGAATGATGAAACTGTTGAAAAATTCTGTTCTTCCAGGCTACCATGTTGGACGGAAGGGTTGTGCAATGGAGTTGCTGTTGGAGCCAGCAGGAATCCAGTTGCCAGTTGAAGATCCAGCAGGAGTTAAGG